GAAAATGCACCGCTTGAGGTCTAGTTGATTCTGGGCAAATGAAAAGTGGACAAAACAACGAGAATGGACTTCACCAAAGATGAGAAATGATCTATAAGGCAGACTGCTATTATTGTGTACAGTAAAAATGCAGGACTATGATTGCTCCCAACCCCATGTCAACGCTCACCGGAGAACGCGTCATCCAGGAACCTCGAGGGTTGATGAGCTCTGTTTGTAAACGAACAAGACGTAAGGGGTGAAATGTGTAAGTACTAGGAAGAAGGATGGAAATCACGGGATGTTGGTGGTACCGGCAGTTGGACACTGCATGAAGTGGAATGATTTCCTGCAGAACTAGAATTCCCCGTGTATGACTGAGTCAGCGGTTGCCCTGTATCTTGATCGTTCAGGTGGCGGACTCGATGGTCCGGAAGCATTTGTTGTAAAGAAATTCCCTTTAACCACCTCTTTTCTTTTGTTTGGTGTTCCCCTCTTAGGCTGGTGCAGTCAACCATGGCCGTGACATTGACCTCCCTCCCCAAAAGCCCATTATGTCTTGTATTCCACCTTTTAACGTTACTTTTAGGGGAACAAAAAACACCCCACCTGCCAATACAAAGAGAATGAGTGAAGGTTAAGTTCCAAACTTTGTTCTACCCCCGTTACTTTCTGCGAGGGAAAAAGAAGGCAGACTCACACAATGCACTGCACAGACTGCAGTCTGTCAGTCGAGGGTAGGGATAGGGGTCAACAGTGGTGCAAATGGCAATTGAGTTGCGCGGAACCTCAATTGAAGGATCATTATTATTTACTTTACTTATTCCTACTACTACTCTGCAGGATGGTGGTTATACTTCTCTCCTCGTCTCGTGTAAAGTGACATGGATTCCCCGCCGCGCCAAACGACCAAACTGCCAACTCATCATTGCGTCCGATGCCTGTCTGCCAACCACGGAATGGCTCGTCCAATGGATATGATCAGAGATCCACCGGCGCAAATCCAGAACCAATTTCGTTTTCCCACACGGCTGATCATCGTCCAAACCGGGGATTTTATGACGATGTCCGTCAATTTGTGGGAAACCGCCGCTCGCTCTTGATGAAAACAATCGATCTATCGTCGTCCTTTCAGCTGGAAAGGCCCTCCTGAAAGATCACAGGATAGACGTCGAATATTTCCGAGGAGGCGGTCAATTCACACAAGAGACGTTTTCGGATCACTTACCGAGTCGATGGTGATCGTGATCGTCCCTCAGCATTGGTCTGAGCAAAAAAGTCGTAGCCGGGTCCATCGTGGCTAATACTACTGTTGACTAAAGTGGCACACTTTTTTTTATTTTTATTTTTTTTCCCCCTCCCTCTCGCCCACAGACTACGGAGTCGACATCCATTTAATTATTATAATCTTCCTTAATCACTGATTATATATATTTTTTTAAGATTACAACCAGGATTCGTCTGCGCGACATGAACCCCTCTCTTGTTGGGATTCATCATTGTATGCATTAGTGGCCTTCCACAACGCCGCCTCTTTTCCAATTAATATATTATTTTATCTCATGCTTGCTGATTCTGGAACGACGGGAATCCTTTCTAGATTTCGTCTTTAATGCGGGGTTCTAGAAATTCTCAACCGGACTAGTAAAAGGAAGGAGAGTAACAAAAAAGAAAGGAGAAAAAAGAACTAACTAAAAGATTTACTGATTATCGCCCTTGCCCAGAGCTCCGGCACTCGTTCTGCAGGAAGAATGGTAGACCGAAATGACGATTTGACCGGAATTTCTTATCCTGAGCAACATGTCAATCTTAGCCGCCTGGATCGGCGGCGAATTACACCGTGGCATATGGAGCAAAGTTGTCTTGGGTCTTCTAGTACTGGATCACTGGTGGAAAGCCATGCCAGCACATCAACGTTTCAATCCACACTTTCCAGTATTCGATCTCCAGAAAGAAACGACTCGAAATGAACAAAGCTAGGACAATTTAGATCCGCAATGGCTCATGGAATTCGCCTGTTACCTGCGCCAGAACTCCAATCTGGTGGAGAATGCCTCAATTGACCCGATTAGAAGACCATTGGCCTTTTTTATTTTTATTTTATTTATTTTATTTTTCTTTTTTCTTTTTTCTTTTCCTTTCTTAGACCCTTTTTTTTTGCCTCTCTGTTGACCCTAAGTTATGGACTACTGCTTTATGGGCCCCGCCTGTTTATTTGAACTGATTATACCTAGCTAGAATGATAATATTTGCCTGCCTTTCTTTCCCTTCTTTCTTTTTTCCCTTCTTGCTTTCTACCATTGTGTGGAATGTTGCTATCTTCCATCATACGTTAGTTCTATTTGTTCGCATTTTGTCGTGCCTTTGTCTAGATTGACCAAATCTATACTAAGCCTCTCCACTGATCCGCTTTTCGTGACAAGATCTTGGCTATTCCGAAACAGCAGATCCCTTGAAGTGTCATATGAGGAACGTGGCCATTGGGCATCAACAAGCGCCGTTGCATAGGCTTGTTTCCATACCTTGGGTGTGGTTGCCAGGATCTTGTGCAGTGTCAACAGACCCAGGGCAGCAAATACTGCTTTGATACGTCTCTGTACCATACGTTTTATTGGACGCCCGCCTGTCTTCACGATGTACTATGTTCTATACCTTGCGAGTATGTAGCCTCTCTGTTGCAATATGCCCAACTCTACGCGGTCGATCTCAGAAATCCCTTGCCCAAATTGGTTTGATCGCGGCAATCGCGGTTTATGAACCTTTTCCCCTAAATCTTCTTTTTCTTTTTTCTTTTTTTTCTCTTCTTCGTCTCCTTGAGAAACCCTCGGGGGAAATGACTATCCCGTGCATCGATCAGAGATTTACTTGGTTGCACTTTACGTGATTTGTTAACATCTCGGCAAATTGCCCTGGTGGCTTCCAAACGTCACAGTCCTGACTAAAGTCAAGTTCGAAGTTGAATAACCATGTGTATAGGTCTTTGCCGACGCCGCCGCTGGCCGGAGCCCCAGTTTGAGGTGTATGAAGGCCCTACCGGGTATACCTGCATTGTTCGCGTCAATAATCGGGAATACCAGACGGACACTGTTTACCAAAACGAAACCCTGGCTCGAGAGAATGCTGCAATGCGAGCGTACCTCATCTGTCGGAATTTCTCCGTCAATGATGGCATGTACCCAGCTGGACATGACCACGGAGGGGTTGTCCAGGGAATGCCTGTGGCGATAGGCACTGGACGAAAGGCCCGCTACGATGATACCGATACCTCGATCAGTGGAGGAAGCAGGAGCGGAGGGAGCAGCCCCGAAAGCTACGAGGGAGGACGATTCGGTCAGGACAGGCCCGCCGTGCCGTCGAGGGCCCTCGCATTTAGCAGCCGTGGAATGTAGTCGCCCCTGCTGTTTTCACAGAATTGTGGTCAAGTGGAACTCGGCGTACAAAGCCAAAAACTACGTGGAGGACTCTAACGACTTTATGATTTATGACATGACTTGAATATCCAGATAGATCGAAGTGCTTGTTCTCAATTGAAGCGTGTGACCTTAGTCGAAAAATCAGTCCATCGACAGATATACCTAGTGTGCTGCCAGGCTTACAAAATTCCGAGTATGGATATAAGATTGAATGTGCATTACTGCATTGAGCTGTCCAGCGTTCTTTGACTTGTGCAAGTGGCGGAATAGTTCTTTTCACCAGTTAGTTCTATATGAGAATGAATCCAGTCATCCATCTCCTTTGCCATATGTGTACATGTGCACCCAGTTTCAGGTACAACAACCAGTCTGTACGACAGGGACTAGAATCTAGACCTAGGATCTACTCTCCTTTCTCTTGATAACCTACATCATTTTTTACTTTGAAACCATGCTCGTCGGCACGCAAAATCGGTAATGTAAAAGCAGAGGTCTATTGTGCTACTGCGTATTCGTTGGTTTGCCTTGGTAGTTCTTTATACAATATCTCTATCCAGCCCGGGATTAACACTTGCGACTAACAAGTATGAAAGATTGAAAACCCGGTTACCCTCACTCCAATAGATTATAGTAGGTATAACTCAAGAATATGAATACTCGCCTAATGTCTAGAAACCGCACGCTTATTCACCACAGCTCTACCCCCCAACCAGGAGAAAGCAAGAACCCGAGCTTGACTCGACACCAAACATTTCCCCAACTACTAGCATAGACATATGCCTGTATATACTATCCTATCCAAAAAGAGCTATCAGTATAAGGCCTTATGTCCACTCCAACTGTGCAAATATAGCACATACAACTATATAACCGACTATAACACTATAAACACCAACAAACATTAAAATCCCTACTACAACCACAAACAATAGTAAAAAGCCCCCCAAAACAACTTCCCTAATAACAATTCCTACCCAGTTGAATCCCCCTAGATGCCCACATCTCACCCATGCAGAAAACAAGTCCACAAGTCCCCCCCCCTCACCGCAACCCCAGACATACGGTACATACATAAACCCCCCCCTTACAAACGTGGCCTCACCGAACCCCAAGCAACGGCAAAACCCACCATCGTCACCATGCCTACCGACAACATCAATATCCCTGAAACGCCTACATCTCAAAAAGAGCGGAGTCGAAATCGAAGCACCTGGCATATATCTCACTAGCCCCAGAACGGTAAAGCGCCTCTCCCCTGCGATGCTTAATCTGCTGACTCACCATGACGTATACAGTCCCGTTCTCGAAGAAGAAAAGCGAAACCCAAACAGGGTCGCCTATGATGCCATGATGGCATGGAGCTAGTATATAAATGGATGCGATATTGTGGGGATGCGTGAAGGAGGCAGTGCTATGCTATGATATAAACAATCCCTTTTCTCTTTACCTTTGGCATTGCTTTTGGGTTCCGGGGTTAGCTGGCTGCTATACTATACTATTTTACCGAGTACACTGGTTGTTAATGTTTATGAAGTCATTTGTATCTGTATGTTTTGTTTTTTTTGGTCTCGAGCTTTAGATTCTTGAGAGCACGGCCGTCTGTCGGATATGAGGGCGGCTGTGCGTCGGGTGTCCGCCTTTGGGGCGATGGCTAGACGGCCCATTGGCGTGCCAGGGACGAGGTTGTATGTCAACTCGCCGGTGGCGGGCCAGTCGCGCGTTGCCTGTGGTGTTTTGGCTGGGAGACAGGGTCAAGGCGCTTTGAGGTGTGGGCTACCTGTGTCTATGCAGGTACGGCGATTCGCGCATTTTGATGCCATCCAGGAGGACAAACAGGAGACGAGGGACGAGCTGGAGAGGCTTGAGATCAGAGAGAAGGACCGGCAGCGGAGTGCTGAGAGCGAAGATGGGGAGCAGGGGTCGAAGCTTGCGAATGCAATGTCGAAGGGTGGGTGCGCTTCCTCTCGATTCATTTCAGGGCGCGCTGATTAGTCCGGGTTGCAGGGAAATTGTTGACGACGCCGTCGAGACTCTTCAAGGTTCTTATTCCGTTACCTACCGCTAGTCATAATAGTAAACACGATGGTATGTTTGTTCTTTTGGGCCTGACGGAACACAAAAGTTAACTGTTGAAGATATTGAGCCGATAGCTATCCTGATACATCCACAGCAGCCGTTATCTTACCTCGAACGTCTCATTCAGGATGAGATCCCCCCGGTTTCGATCGATGGTGCGAAGCCAAGGCCGCCTGCTGTCTCTTTTATTGCACTTCAGATGGATGACAACCCTGTCATACCTAAGAAATCAATGTATGAGACGACCGACACTGAGGTGCACCGATTGGGGGAAATTGGGGCCGGACATGAAGCTAGGCAGCGGAGACGTCGACCGGACGAGGAGGATGACACATACAGCTATCTTCGACGTGGCGAACCCGGCAAGAGCAACAGGGAAGAACGCTTTGTCCGCTGGTCCCAGTCCACCGAGGTCGGCGACTTTGTCCGCGACGCCTCTCGGGCTCGGGAGTTCATCGTCAGTATCGAGGGGGGTCCGGCTGGTCTGCGCCAGATCCATGTGACTGTGCCTTCGTTCGATCAGCGAACACACTTCCTGAGAATGCGGCTGCGGAAGATCTCCGGAAGGATTCAGAGCATCGCGGAGATCAAGCACGAGTGCGATGCCCTGGCACACCGAGGAGCGCAGCGCGTGGCCGTGGGAGGGTTCGGGATTCTCGCCATGTGGTGGTACCTCGTATACAACTTACGTTCGAGACGGATCTGGGCTGGGATACCATGGAACCGGTCACGTATCTGGCCAGTTTGTCAACTCTGATGGGGGGCTACTTATGGTTCCTCTACCACAACCGCGAAATCTCCTATAAGTCAGCGCTTGACTTTACGATTAACGCGCGACAGAAGAAGCTGTATGAGAGGGAGGGCGTAGACCTCCATGAGTGGGAGTCACTGATCGACGAAGGGAATTTATTGCGAAAAGAAATCAAAACTATTGCAGCAGAGTACGACGTTGTGTGGGATGAGAAGAAAGACGAGCGAGATGAACGCGTGACGGAAGCTTTAAGAAAGGAGCGAATGCAAAAGAACGGATCGAATCGAACGAAAGAAAGCGAAGACGATGATTAAGGATTGTGTTACATGCACACCAGGACGGTCAAATCCTCCGTACTCCCTGTCTACCCATTTCGCACCGGATCATAGTACTTCTTCGGCGGCGCATCTTCTTCCTGTTTCTTCGTTTTCGAGCCCTGACCTGCGAACCCGTCAGCATACCCAGCACAATATCCAGACACCACTGTCACTCACCATGATCGTCCCCCTTTCGCCGATTGCGATTGTTCCGAACATCCCTCGACCGAAACACACTATACAGCAACCACCCGGCCACCCAATTCGGACCGTACTCACCGGCCGTGGCGCCACGAGCGAAGAAAGGACGGGTCAAGGGCCCAGCATTCTGCGCGATCTCGATGATCCCCCATCGTTGGCGCTCGGGACGGATATGATGCCAGAAGAAGGGCGGCCGGGTGGACGGGTCGTTGGCTACGCTGTCGAGGAGGTGCGAGGTATCTTCGTTGAGACGATTATAGACGACGATGGCTTCATCCTGTTCCTGTCAATGGACCATTGTACCATACAGCATTCGATAGACGTAGATATAAACAACGATATGACATGACATGACAAGAACAAGACAAATAGTAGACGAGAAAACATACCCTCATCGCCCTATAAATCTGCTCATGCTGCGGATCCTGCGAATCCAAGACCAAAGCCTGCATGAACTCCTCCTTCGAGGCACGAGGACCGACAGGCGCCATTGACTTCTATCCCAGCAGTCGACGAAGACAAGAAGCCCCAAAAACCACCTCGAAGCAAATAAACCCCGATTCACAGTTGTAATCAAAACCCAACCAATACCTCAATCAAATTCAATTGAACCAAATGACAACCCTAGCCAAAAAAAAAAAGACAAAGACAAGATAAAGACCAAAACCACTCACCCTCCCTCTTTCAAACCCCAGACAGACCCCACGCCCCCCTTCTTAAACCCTCGGAAGAAGCACAAAGTACGTACGTAGGTAGCCCTCCCCCCATGCATCCCATACATTCCACCCTAGTCTGCGACCTACATGCCTACATACATACATACATACATACATGTACACTAGCTGAGGTATGGATGTACCTTTCCTTTACCCTGAAAAAAGCAAAAAAAAAGAAAAAGAAAAATCACCCATGTCGAGATCCTGGTCTGCGTCGCACAATAACCCTACCCTCGACCTGCGGTTTCTACATAGCTTGCATGGTATGGTATGGATGTTGTATGAGGAGTGTAATTTGTATTTGTATTTGTGTGTGTATTTGTATTTGTATGTGAGAGAGAGAGAGTATGTGTGTGTGTGTGTGTGTGTGTGTGTGTACAATTACCCAGGGCTGACTTGGTA